CAAATTTTGTGGACCGGGGGGGGGAATTAGTACCCTCGCCCCGGGCTTACGCCCAGAACGGCACTCGGCGCCGTTGGCTCGGGGATAGCAATGTCATTAATTTAATTAAATGTAGAACATCTGCGACGCAACGGTCCTTCTTTTACCACGCGATAAAATCTTGGAACAACCTTCCAGTCTTAATTAAGAAAGCTACCTCCATACTTACTTTTATAAAACTATTAAGAGATCATTTTAAAGAACTATGAATGCAGAACTACGGTTTATTGTAAATTTAGTTAATTACTGTAAAATTAGTTCTGAAAATCCCAATGTGGGAGGGGCTAATAAACAATATTGCATTGCATTGCATTGCATTGCATTGCATTGCATTGCATTGCATTGCATTGCATTGCATTGCATTGTATTGCATTGCATTGCATTGTATTGTTTACGGATTCAAATCACTAATCAAATAGTCTACGATTAGGTCAGTGATTCTATGTTAAATTATTAACTTGAGACCTGCAACCATTGGACTAGTCTCGTTCGCGATTTTATCATAAGCGGAGAATTACTTTGGAGTCCAGAAGCATACTTTCCACAGCATTTTTAAATCAAGAGCCTCTAAAGTCGAAAATGGTATTTTCTATATTCTGAAAAATATTTGACATGCAGAACCTTGACGTTTAAATATCTTAACAACCCAAAAAGATTGTTTCAAGACACACAACGGAAAAAAATGAATATCTAAAAATAGAATTACTGACACTGATCTTCACTGAAGTGGAGGTGAACAGAGCAAGGATATCCGAGGCTGAGCAGCCAATCAAATTGCGTAAAAGCAAAATCGACCTCCCGAGTATATGCTAATAAACGTTATTATATGGAGAGCTTAGATTTTTTCCAATCTCGTACCCAGGGCATTTTGCTTCCGGTCAGCGAAAATCATAGATATAGGAGATCTAGATTGCTAACGCATACCTAGCGCAGGCGGGGCCTACATGATAAATCCAAGATGGCGGTACAACAGGGCAAAAAGACTATAAATTCTATTACGAAAATCAACGGCAAAAAATGCAAAAATCCTGATTTTCGTAATAGAATCTATAGTCTTTTTGCCCTGTTGTACCGCCATCTTGGATTTATCATGTAGGCCCCGCCTGCGCTAGGTATGCGTTAGCAATCTAGATCTTCTATATCTATGGCGAAAATGGCCCTGGCATCGGCCGGTCACATGACCTCAAAATCTCCAGTGTTTGGGTGTCAAGTATGATCATTTATGCATATAAGCACGTATATAGAATAGTACCCTGGATTCCAGAGTCTTCGACAGTAAATAATAAATTGAAATGTCGCGAAGGCTCTGGTTCAACGGGGCGATTCTTTGATTAAACCGTGCCAATCACAAAACAGAATTAGTAGTTTTAGTACAGATTCTGTACTAAAAACACTAATTCTGTTTTGTGATTGGCACGGTTTAATCAAAGAATCGCCCCGTTGAACCAGAGCCTTCGCGACATTTCAATTTATTATTTACTGTGGGAGGCTCTGGAATCCAGGGTAATAGAATAGTTACATACATTTTAATTACTCAAGTAAACACACTTAATGCTGCGTTATCGAAGAGAAAGAAACAAAATAAGTTGACTTTATTCCGTTTTCGTTGTTTACACCTTTGCATTCAGCATGACATAGCCCGTAATACTGATGACTTTTAAACATATTCAGGACCTGGTTAGCCTGTGATATTCGTATCACAATCTTTGTTTGACTATAACGCTGTACGGTTCTTGAAATCAACGATTTATATAAACGACGCATATGAGAAATGTATGTTGAACAGAAGCAAATACTCGTCTACACAAAATGTATAAAGACTTAATTTGGACCAAACAGTTTTGTGATGTATTGTTTTCCATAAAACATGGGGGTGTCTTTTCCAACATATTAAAAATGGCTTGCGCACGAAATTTAAAAGCTTTAATCATATTTTGAGCTAATAGATGGAAAATTTGTTGGGTCTTTAATTACTTTACAAAATTTCAGACAATTTGCTTTAGTTTAAGCCCTTTAACTATTCACGCAAACTTACATTTTTTCCCGAAAATCAGCTATTTGCATGCTTAATTATGCCTTTGCCTAATTTGCATATGTCAGCAATATGCAAATTAGGTAAAGGCATTAATTAAGCATGCGAAAGGCTGATTTTTTAGGATAAAATGAATAGCTAAAGGGCTTAAACTAAAGAAAATTGTCTGAAATTTTGTACAGTAATTATAAACACCCAACAAATGTTCCGTCTATTGACTCAAAATATGATTATTAAAGCTTTTAAATTTCGTGCGCAAGCCATTTTTAGTTTGTTGGAAAAGACACCCCCCCCCCTGGTTCACAAAATTTGAGTTTCATTATTCACATTATAAGTACCCAAAGAAGTTATATACATCAAAAACTGGATACTAATAGCTGTTTTGCGAAATTGAAAGCAATTTCAAATCTGTTCAGTTTTTTTTTATACACCCTGTATATACTATCAGTAGTAGTTGACCAATTTGATATTTATCAGATTATTGATATGCAAATCTCTTCTTCAATGGCTGAATAAAGATAAGAAACCCACACGAAGCATCGCAGTTTCATGAAATCTAACAAACCGTAGACTGACACTGTTTCAAGACTTTCAAAGCATGAACTAGACTCGAACTACATTTTTATAGTCGAGATAAAACTAACACTACACAACATCACTGAATGAAATATTGTTGAATATCACTGTATCATACTTATATATACAGCTTTATAATTACATACGACATTTTAAAATATTTTCTTTGCAGGAATTTGGAGAAAAGAAAATATTTCCTGGGAACACAGACGTTTCATCTGTGGTGAAAAACTTTCTCTCAGTTCCTACAGCTATGCAAAAATTACGAATATATCCTGAATCATGGAATAATGAAATAGCTTTGAGAATTGAACTGTATTCAAATCGTATGTCATTTTTAGTTATATATAATCCTTACTTTGTTCTATAAAGCTCATTTTACATATTAAGATGCCTTTTACTTTTTGTTTCAGCATCTATTTCTACCCAAAATTGTATTCAGTATACACCAACAACCAGCGGTAAGATTTTTTCTGATCATTATTCGAATTATTTTTCCATGATTAAGTTTATGCATGTTGTATCCAGAATTGTAAATAGCAGTTATACATATAAGTTTTTCTATAGGATAAATAGTATTAGGAAATACTCTTAATGTTTTCCCTAAAGCAGAAATTACTGATTTGAGTCCAGGGGCGGGGGAGAGGGGTGTGTGATAACCCTCCCCCCCCCACCCACCCCATCCCCCAATCGTCAGGTAGTCGGCAAAACAGTGCATTCCCTGACTCGTCCCCAGTTCGCTGTCAATGCCTAACCCGCGAACGGGTATATTATTCCGTACTAAACTATTACGAGGGACTGTGGAAGAGTCAGGTGCATCCCAGTCAGTAAAACAGTACATCACAGTCGGCAAATTGTTTTCGTAGTCGGCAAAACATGAATGTGATAGGGTAAATAATGTGAAACAGATGTAAAACAGTTTAAAAATTAATAATCATACCTAAAATTTGGAGAAATTTACGAAAATAGGAAGGAAAAGAGGAAACATTAAAGGAAGAACGGAACGTTAAGCTCAAATAGTATGACAACTATAATGTCCGGAAACTTTTTTACCCAATTTTGGAAAAAGAAACATTAATTAATTGGCGTTTGACATGAGTAGGTAAAATTTCAGTTCATGACAACCAAAATTCTTTTACACCCCCCCCATTCAAAAAGGTCTAGCGGCACCCCTGTTTCAGTCATTCAAATAGATTAAGGAAAAGCTAGAAAAGAAAGTATAGCTATATTTAGGCATTAAAGCACTTTTGGAGTGTACAGTTATCGGGATTTACATACACGAGTTCATGAACAAGAAACAAGAAATTTACTACTGCACGGGACGAGGCGTAGCCGAGTGTAGTATTAAAGTTTCTTGTTCGTGGTTGAGTAGTGCTTGTAAAACCAATACTGATACATGAACAAAGAGTGCTTTAAACGTTAAAATTTGAGTAAACACAGAGATAAACACTTGCGATTTGCGAAAAAAAATTTAATACCAAACTGAATTCAATTAATATTGATTTTTTGTTATGATTCAAACGATACTGTCTTCAATAACTCGGTACTGATCTCAGCAAATTCTTCACCATTTTTTATTGTAGTCGCTGTGCATTAAACCTTTTCATGCGCATTATTTTATATCACACGGCCGTGCGTTATTGTTACATAAATATTAAATATTAATATTGAATATTAAAACTAGTTATATATTATAATAAGCTATATCTTTAATCAACAAACTAATACCCAGTCTTTCGTCTAGTAAGTCGCGGCGAACCAGGTGCCTCAGGGACAGTATTTCGTTCTCACTTCAAGAATGGGAAAATTGTCAAAACTCTTCGTGTTCATAATGATCATAACGCTTTACGGGTAAGTTTTCAATACGTTAATTACTTTCATCAATAATTAAGCTTCGTAGCGTCATTAATAATTTACTAATTTTACACTTTTTTAAGATTAATGAGTGGTCCAGTTACAAACAGTTTGAAAAAACAGGTATGTTCCCAGGATATTTTGTATTCATGTACACGCTTCTAAACGTTGCGCATGCATGCTGAATACGTGGAATTGTTCAGTGGATCCTGGCTGAATCATGTTCTGATACAGAGCCGTAGCCAGGGCTGGGGCCAGGGGCCCCCTGACAAAATGTATTGTATAAAAAAGGGAATCCTTGATTATATAGCTCCATGCTGTCAATAACGCAAAAATTCTGTAGAATATATGCTTGCTGCGCATCGGTGTGAAATCTAAAATCTTGTTCGCTTATTTGCGGCACACAGCTTCAAACACATCCTCTTCTAACCCTAATTATTTCAATATGTATTAAGTGAGGGTTGGATGAAGTTTAAACCAATCTGTTCTTTTTACCAGTGATTTTTTAACGCGGGCTCGGTAGTGGCGCCGTGACGTGGGGGCCAAGGGGGTGGGGGGGGGGCTCCCCTATTGTTGTGACCCGTCGGAAAATTGTCAATGTTGTCGAAATCTTCGTGGTGAAGCATCGGAAAAAGTGATACGAAATCGGGAATAGTGCTACGAAAGCAATTGTAATGTTATTTACCAAAAATGGGGGCATATTTAAAATGTTGTGGTCCGGGAAATTTTTTGGCCCCTCTTGTGTTTTTGTTGCCCCCCCCCCCCCGACCAAAAATCCTGGCTACGCCTCTGTTCTGATATTAGTACTGTATTCATTATTAATGCATAGTCAACTTTATTCGAAACTCTGTATTTAATTTGATGTAGTGCCTATATAGGTGGCTTTCATCATGCTCCAGTTTAGTGCACACATATTTTAAATAAACGAATCTCATTTGGATTCAATTATTTGACCTCCCACTGCCTTCATGTTGACGTCTCGTGGGGTAGCTTCAAAGTTTAACCCACGTATACAGTATAAAACAAAATCACCAAGAATAGGGTCACAGTTTCAACAAACGAATTAAAAGCACTCAGGTGCTATACATAAGAACTACGACAGGGACATGCAAGGGTGTGTATTGAAAAAAAATTCAACAGTATATTCTACCTAACCGCCTTCACACATCGCTAACCCATGAGAGTACTTCCATTTTCCCCTCTTCAGTGTATAGCACCTGGGTATCAGGCAATTTAAGAAAATGTTCGAAAGAAATACAAAACAATGTTAACTCCGAATAATGATGACACGGAGTTTCCGCTGTTGTGTATATTATGAAAATAGTCAGTACTTAATTTTACCAGCGAAATAGTGTACGCTTATCAACACCAGTATATAACTGTTTACCTGTTTGTTGATGACTAGGTGCTGTAACATGGTTTATTTTGGACAAGGAGGGAATACATCTCGACACCATCGACCTTCGTGGAAACTCTCGTGTTTTGTTTGTTAGTCCCACTTCAAGGCATGTGAGCGTAAATGCCATCCTAAGTGACAGTAGTGGTCAAGTATTCATTGCTCCATCCCAGTCTATAAGTATCTCCACACAGCTCGCGCCATGTCTAGTCACCTTCAACTCCAGCGTATTGGCGTTTGGTAACAAGACGGGGAGTGACGTAGGGATCCAGAGAACATTACATGTATATGGGACTCTTGACTTAGGCCATACTCCTAGTGTTGAGATAGGACAAGATGGTGGGTCATTTATCATGCATCCAGGGTCATCCCCAAATCAACTTGATTTCAAAAACTTTGTAATTAAGGATGGCCTGGGGTATCAGGTCAGCTTGCTTCAAAATGGTGAGATAAAGGTTATGAATATCGCTGGAGGGAAATTCACAATGGGTACCGGATGTTTATTTAATTCCAGTGCTCAGTTAACGTTGTTATCAGACGATGTAATTATCAATGGTGTCATGACAGCTCCTACCCTAACTAGCGCTGTTTGGAACTCATTATCGGTTAGATTGCAGGGATCGCTGGATACAAAGGTTTTAAGCAACGTTTTCAAAGTAAATGACGTTTCTGTACATGGCAGTCTCAGTATACGCAATGCTAACATGTCCATGAATGTGAATAGTTTGGACGTATCTGGTACTTTAATCCTGGCAGGAGTGGTGAAGCTATTCGATCAAAATGGCGCTTCCAACGTCAATATTACAGTCATCGAAAGAGGTATGTTTAAAATTCTCGGAAAATCTAGCAGCTCTGCTTCTAATTTCTCTGAAATCGGCGCAGGGGAGATTGATGTGTTCGGCCAGTTTTTAGCCGGAATTGTAACGCCATCCGGTGGATGGAATCGACTGCGTGTACTTCAAGGTGGCTCTATGGCTGTCCAATTTAATGACCACTTACAGATAGACACCATAGAAATTTCGGGTAACTTGCAGGTGTTGAGTGTGGCGAATATCAGTGGTCTTACGAAAGCACGGACTGGTACCATTAACTTAGCAAGTGGAGGCATGTTTACACTAAATTCTCAGAAAGATACTGGGATATCAATCATTCGTGCATCGAACGTAGAAGTTAACGGAACGTTTTTAGGTGGGCGGATAAGCCCTGTAGAGGGTTGGGATCGTATCAGTGTTGGACCACAAGGAAATTTAAATCTTGAGTTGACTGAAGAATTGCGTACTGATAAAATAACAGTTTCTGGGATTTTAGAAGTCACAAATAACGTCTCAGTTCGCGGCTATACAAGTGACCGGATTAACAAAGTTCTGATCAACTCAGGGGGTTCATTGATTTTGAATTCTCAGAGAGTTGGAATCTCGTATCTCAGAATCTTAGAAGTAGAAATCAACGGTCGGTTCTTAGCGGGAAAAGCATCGACCGTTGAAGGATGGAATCGTCTTGCCGTACAGCCACAGGGAAATATGAATATAAATTTCATTGATGATTTCATGGTTGATGATTTGGAAGTTTCTGGGACTTTAGAAGTAACAAATAATGTATCAATCCGAGGATACACGAAACAACGAACTAGCAGAGTTGTGATCAATACAGGAGGGTCATTAACTTTGAATTCTCAGAAAAATGGAACATCGTATCTCAGAATGTCAATCGTGGAAATTAACGGAAAATTCTTTATAGGTGATGCATCAACCATGGAAGGATGGGACCATCTAATGGTCAAACCAGATGGGGTTATGAAAATTAAATTAATAGGTGATTTCCAAGTTGATAGGTTAGAAGTATCAGGAAATATAGAGATTGAAAATTCAGTAATCATTCGTGGTTTCAGCGAAAGTCGTACGCGAGACGTAGTTATCAACAATGGTGGCTCTATTACCCTTGATTCTCAGAAAACATCAGGAGTGTCCATAATCCGTGTATATAACCTCACCATTAACGGTCAATTTCGGGCAGGAATAGTTTCACCTGGTCAAGGATGGAACATATTCAGCATTGGTTTGCAAGGAAGCATGACTATTGCGTTCCACGACGCATTACGAGTCGACAATGTGATTATTTCTGGGAATTTGGTGGTTTCAAATGAGGTGAAAATTCGTGGATACAGTAGAACCAAGACACCGGAATTTAAACTCGAAACAGGAAGTTCTGTAACATTAATGGCGGCAAGTTATAATGTCAGTTGTGGCGAGAAGAACGTTTATTCCGAACTGCAGGTCTTCCAGTTGTCAGTTAAAGGTATTTTCCATGCTGGGCCATTATCCATCCATGATGGAATTAATGATTTTAGTATCTTTGACACCGGTAATTTCCAGTTTTATCCGGTTGGGGAATTCTGGTTTAACCATTTTAATGTAAACGGAAGAATGACGTCATATCGCGACGGAATATTTGAAGGCCGGCATAATCTGCCTATCCCGCATGCGCAATTCGGACCAAGCTCTGACGTTGTAATAAAAAAATGCTTCAATAACTCACGAATTATTGCTAACATTGTTACTGTTGCGGGGAAGGTTGTGACAGATCTACTTGATATTGGTAAAAACTGGAAAAAACTAACCGTCACTGGAACATTTGAATTTCTCCCAGCAGATACATTTAATATTTCAAAGACTGTTATTAACGGAACATGGAGGAGCATTAAACCATTTCGTGATAGTATTCCGTTACTTGGAAACACATTGGTTGTAAACGTGGGAGGTTTGATGAGTTTAAACTACCAACAGAAGCTTGAAGACCCGACATTGGGTAGCATACCGTCCACAATTCGAATGACTGCTTCCATTGATATCCATGGACGTTTCGAAGCAGGGTCAGTGAACATTTTTACAGAAGACCTAACAATATCCACTCATGGCATGCTGACAGTGGACTGGGGAGGCTATGCGGCCGGCCAGGGACCTGGTGCAGGGACTGCTGCAACTTCCGGTTCGTCTGGAGCAAGTCATGGAGGGAGGGGAGGGAAAGGGGCTGGTGTATCATGCCACAGGTTACCATATGGATCTATCTATGCCAGAGGGTCTTGGGGTAGTGGTGGTGGACATGCAGGGAACCTGGGAGGTAGAGGTGGTGGTAAAGTTTACCTTGAGGTACGAAAAGGAGTACAGCTTGATGGAAGGATACAATCTTCAGGAGAACCTGGCAAGGTGAGGTTAATTATTTCTTCATTGTTTCTGACGATGTTAAAACAATTATATCAGTGTCAAAAGCTGGTCAATTTGAAGACAGTTTTCTTCTCTGCTGCGCGTATTGAAACTTTTAAAACAGTTGTTTGCCCATAACCTTATGTATACGATATTAAACCCGAAAACGATATGCTAACTCTATATCAAATGTACTATCCTTGCGCGTTATATTCCATACATGAAATCCTTTTTCATAGGGAGGGAATGCTGGTGGTGGCAGTGGTGGATCAATATGGATAAACTGCACTCAGTTTAATGGTAAGGGGTTCATATACGCAAATGGCGGGAAGGTGTCTGATGACGGAGGTGGTGGTGCTGGTGGTCGGATTACTGTAAATTACCAGCATGGAGTATTCCACAGTGATCAAACGTCAGCCTACGGAGCAACCGCCAGGGTGGAAAATGGAGGACCAGGACTTATCTATTTGTTTGGGCAGAGACCACTGAATAAGAATTTGAGAATTGACAACAAAGGAAAGGAAGCTGTGGTAAAGTGTAATTTAATTTTCTTTCGTTTAAGATTTAGTTACTAACAAAATATACTATTACAGTAGTGATTAATGTGGTATTTATATGATAGCGAACAAGCTCGGTCAAATTGACTCCCTCATATAAACATCCAGTCCACAGTAGCGTAGCCAGCCCGACAATTTAGTCCCGATATGCAAATAGTTTCGTGTTCATTGACTGTGAGAAAACAATCAATTTCAAAAGAAATGAATAATGATAATAATTTTGAATTTGCATAGCGGGACTAAATTGTCAGGCTGGCTACGTCACTACCAGTCCAGTAAACCTTGAAAATGCGAAGCGAGATTCTCGTTAGGCGGGTAAGTTTTGGTTCCAAACTTCCAATAGAAAAGCGCAAGATTCCTGTAAAAACATCGCACTTGCGGTAAAAACCCTGAGTAGGCAATGGCTGTAATTATTATAAACAGCTTCAGGTCCATTCCGAGTAACATGAAAGTCTGAAAGTTTGTTTAAACATTGGCTAGATTGTATTTTCCATGGACATTTTATTTTGCGTCCGATGTGGTTTATCTCGTATTTTTTCAACTACCATTCAAGTGACTAAAATCTCAGTGTGTAAACGAATCTTAGTAGTCCAGTTAAATTATTAGTTAGAATTCCTTCTGACGATATCAACGTGTTTGTCTTATTTGCAGGTCTACCAAGGTTCAGATTTTGAAAAGTTTAAATATTCAGGTAATTATTTGTATGTTATTTTATTATTAATGACTGACCTAACATGTATGCCTGTGAATCACCGTAACAAACTCAATTAAATAGGGCGAAACTCGCATGTGGTGAGCAGGGTTTATTTCAAGAAAAATTTATAACTGCACATATAGGGATGTTACGAAGGCAACAGGTGTTTGACGGGGGCGGGGCTGTCGAAGGATTTTTTACATTCATATAGGTGACAGAATAATCGTGTGGTTGGGTGGGAGAATTGGAGAAAGGCCAGACAAACTCGATTATGGGTGCGGGAGCTAGGGAGTGTTCCCCAAAACAATTTGAATCTTGAGGCTATTAGTTCTGGCAAAGATTTGTTCACCCAACCACTCACAAAAACTGTTTCAAAACATGTAACTGGGAATCATGGATATTCAATATATAACAACCTTAAATTTGCATTTGAGGCAGCAATGAATATTAGGAGTCCTCCCCCAGAAAACGTTTATATTTTTGATGCTCAATTAACATGATGACAGCAATTCTGGAATTTTCTGGAGCATCCACAAGAGTAACGAGTAAATGAGAAGACTGTTTTAAGGCTATATTTGTTAGTTTGGTGACTGCACATTTGTGTTTTAAGAACTGCACAAATGGGTTTAGAACTGCACATTTTGTGTAGAACTGCACGTTAAAATAAACCCTGGTGGTGTGAGGAAAGTGATCTGATAAGAGGTAAAAGATAATGCATGCATTACTGCTTGGCCTGGTTGAGCTACTTGTGTTCTTCCTCCATCCCAAGTTAATTCGTAAAGAGTTTGGCTATTGGAGGAAGAATTTGCCTCAATTAAGCTTTGCCTCGATATCAGTTAGTTTGGGAGGTAATAACAAACACTTGAGGATATCCTGTGTGGATAAATTTGCCTCAATTAAGCTTTTCCTCGATATCAGTTAGTTTGGGAGGTAATAACAAACACTTGAGGATATCCTGTGTGGATATCCAGCTGACGGTGAAACACGCTTTCACATGTTTGTATACTTCTGTGCTATACCCAGTATTTATAGTAGTTTGAGATACGGGAACTCAAATTCAAAATCAACTGATTTGTCTATTGTATAGGAGCCGTTGCCTACCTCCTTCCAGAAACAGACAATTTTATATTCGACTTTACATTTGTTGAAATCTACGGTACGGCGCATCTTTATGTTGACGGTGAAGGAACAGAACTGACAACAAAACTCGTTCAAGGTGATGACACTGGGTACATCCACGTTGCTCCTGGCAACACACTGCGACTCACCGCTGATTCTACATATCGTCGTACCAATATCACGTGGGGTCCTCTTATATACCAGGGAGCATCTTTCGTACTTCCAAATGCTACAGTTGAATTCAGGGAAGTCAGTCCATCATCAAAAAGACCATCGCATATTGATATTTGGGGTCAGGTTGTTGGTAACTTAGCGCATCTTATGGTTGGCTTCGGCGCTACGTTGACATTCAAAGAAATAGCCCCAAGGTCATTAACATTCGTCGGCATAACAATTCAGAAAAAAGGAAGACTCATTTTGGAAAGTGAATACGGTAACACGACAGACCGCTGGGATATAAATCTGTTTGCAGACGCAGGTCCACTGAGGCGCGATGGAAAACTAACCGTGGAAGGTGGTGGCATCCTGGAAACTAGGAGATTACGAATAAATGCCGAGTCTGTTGATGTACAATACGCGGGATTAATTGACCTAAATGGACAGGGTTATGTTGCAGGTAATATGAGAAGAGCTACCCTCGATATATTTACAATCGTTTTTGCTATTTTTGCAAAATTCATATTTGGATGTGGGATTGCATTTCTCGAGAAATGGGTATTTAGTGATCGCGATCGCCAAAGAAAACAATTCAAGAAAAAAGTTTTGCTTTCATTTCTGAAGAAAACCCAAGATTGTTTTCTTTCTATATCAGCAGAGTGTTTTGAATTTTTTTATATTTAATCTGGGCGTAATTGAAACAAAAGAGGAAGGAGAAGTACATTAAAGGCAGAGAGACAGAGCATTACTTGTTATTACTTATCGCTCTCTTTGTGAACATTTTGGCCCTTACAATTGTCGAGAGCCATTACCATAGGAAAAACATTCTCCAGTTAAATACTGAATAAATTATTTTTGCTTAATTTTCTAGGTCAGGGTATCGGTGCTGGAGATTCAACCGGATCTGGTGCAAGCTATGGTGGCCATGGTGGACTGGTATCAAGTGGAGGAACGCCAGGAAGTCCCTATGGATTTATACTGTACCCCACGGATTTCGGTAGCGGTGGTGGTGGAAGCCAAGGGGGGAAAGGTGGTGGATTTGTGGAACTTGAAATTAGGGGATCACTTGTTGTCGATGGTATGTTGCATTAACCAGCGATACTTCGAGCTTAGCTATAATAGCGAAGTTCGTATTTGACATCCACTACCACTACAATTAATAAGGGACCATTCACAAATCAGGTGCGTTTTATATATCATATATCCGATTAACCATTTAGATGAGACGTAATGGTAGCGGTAGTGGAAGTCAAATCTGAACCTCTCTATTGTAAGTTAATCAGTTCAAAGACTTAGACGTAAAATTCCAGAACTGAATTAGGGAGTTGGGCGGGCTGGGATGGAATGAGGGAACCTGAATACATATAGCTGTAATCGTTGGTTGTTGAGAATATAATCTTTTTTATCAAAATATCCATACAGGATGTTTCTCTAGTGACGTATTGATGATATTCGGAATCTTGTACTAATATTAGAAAAAATAAGCCGCCCAGTGTCTTTTAAAATCAATCACAACATCAACTTTTCGACCTTTAGGTACCATCAGTGCTAATGGAATGGCGTCATCTAACAATGGTGGTGGCAGTGGTGGTAGCATATTAGTCACTACTAAAGCACTTGAAGGTTCTGGCCAGATAACAGTGAATGGCGGTACTGGCGCTAGTGGTGGTGGATCTGGTGGTAGACTGGCTATATACTGGCATGATAGAGAATGGTGGTTTGGTCAGCTTCAGGCATTTGGTGGTTCTTCAACCGGAAATGGTGGAGCTGGGACCATATATCTACAGGTATGGATGTTTCATTGTTTTGTGAACTGATGGGGCCGAGGAAACTGATTTTTTCCTCGCTTAGTTAGGATAAGTTGCACCTGATAAGTGACCAGGTTAGGATAAGTTGCACCTTTATACAAAATTTAATATGTAACTAAAAGCCCTGGTAAACGTAGATTTTCAGTGAAATTTGGATATTGAATGGTTTGAAACGAGGTTTTCATTCTCGTAAGGAATTTCAAAGAAATATTGTTGTTTTATTTCTTTGAATTTACACAGGAACGCCGGAACGATGTGAAGATAAGGGGGCAGATTTTCGTGAAAGGGCACTTTTGAATTGATATATACTAAGAGATGTTTGCAAAACATCGGGAGTTGAACTTCGCCTAATCATGTTTTCTATTTATTGGATGATAGGGGTGTGAGGCGGTTCTCCACCAGGCGATTGTGCTATTCTTGAAGCTCGATGGCTGCATTTCTTGCGTTTTCTGAAGCAAATTCGTAAAAGAATCGCACTAACATTTCTGACAATTCGCTATTTCGCCAAGGCAATCCTTTAAATTGTAAGGGCACCTTTGCCCCCCTTGCCCCTCCTGGTAATGGGCAACGGGGGCGGCTGCCCCTCCTGCTCCCCAGTTCCGGCGTCCCTGAATTTACATACAACATTAAATTGAAGTAGTAACGTATGTACATGAATGAAAGTTTAATTTTAATTGCTTTCATTCACTAGTTGGCAGAGTTGCCCAATAAATACACTATATATTTTATACATGAAGTACTGTCCTGAATAAAAACAAAATGGCGGATTCCTGTAAGATGGCTTATTAGATGGTATAAAATCGATATTAAACAATATACATTGAAGGTTTTCTGTATTTAACATGATTTCAATCAGTCAACCTTTGGTCAGGACAGCCAAATCACAAATATGTGTTTCTCAATCTAAGCTTTTTAAATGAAAAAGTTTGTAGAAACGTGCATGGTGCCATGTATATGCGTTCCACTTCGTCTACGTTTATCGTTTCCACTACTGTACGTTGCATTTTCAACTTTAAGACTAAGTATTTTCAAGGAAATGTAGCAGTTATGATATTGGACGTTGGTCTGGCAGGTATGTTAACCCTGCATCACTCTCCGTAGTGTTAATTACAGTGACCCAACACTATATTTAATTGCATTATATACCGTTGCATGGATACGCGAAAAATTTGCATGAATTGCGACCTAAGTCAAACTAATCCAAGGCAAAGCATAAAACTATGTCAACATTTTGTAATATAAGTTACATTTGTTATTTCCTTCTGTACTTTTCGTAGGATAAGCAACCTGGGGTCTTGAACCGAACCCTCATTATCGACAGTAACAATCGACGACCATCGAAGCCTGAAATTGACTATTCAAACTGGAGAGTTGATAGCGGACGGACTTGGCTTCACTCAAATGAAACTGATATGGAATTCGAGGAAGTTCACATTTTGCGTAGGGGAGAGTTAGCAATTTATCCGGATGTTAAGCAGTAAGTTTTTTATAATTTTATTTAAATAGGGAAGATGATTTATATATTCAGTTTATACAGGGAAGGAGTGATCTGTTACAATCTCTGGTGTGTTGAGAGAGGAATAGACGTTATGTCTTCAAACGATTTTTTAAAGTTATCAAACTTTTTCCTTGCTTCACAAAAAAGCAAAAACGTTGCGTATTATTTTTTTCATTTTAGACAGTTTTTGGTGATTTTTCGTCTTTATTTTACCTGTCAGTTGTGTGGGAAGAAACTTAATTTAGGTTCCTAAGTACGACATATATCGACTTCTCTATGGAAACGCTATGTTTCTGGTGTATATATATATATATATATATATATATATATATATATATATATATATATATATATATATATATATATATATATATATATATATATATATATAGTGAAATATTGCTGATAACAAGATACAAGTGTTGTATATAGAAAAGGTTTCAATGTGCAACCAAAAGAGACATTTATAACGTAAAATAAAATAAAAGCCACTCAAATTTTGCACAAACGTTTTCGCTTTAATGTTAGCTCCTCAGGTGCATATTTACAATAAGTGGAATTTAGTTTATCTATTATCTACGTTCTATGATATCATATTATAATAACTATGTTAGGAATGCATATATTTACATGGTGTGAAGTCACCCGTTAAAAACATTCTATTGATCTAAATGTAAGCATAAACTTAATGGTTTTTTAATTAGCGTTCAGATCCGGATTCAGTATATTGATAAGTTCCTTTTCTTTCATCTCCCTAAAAAGTCTGTCCGTGTTAATGCATTGATATATAGGCATTATTTTGAAAATTCCGTTGTTACACATATTTAAGTGTTCGCTTACTTTTAGATGTCTATACTCTTCGTGTCGAATTTGTTCCTTGTGCAATGTCACTCTTTTTCGTAAGTTTTCTGTCTGGCCGACGTAGAAGCTGTCGCATTTTGAGCAAATGATCACGTAAATGACATATCTCGCTTTGCAGTTCATCGTTGAATTGACTTTCCAGGTTTTACCGCTCTTTAATGTAACAGACTTTCCTGTGATTAAAACATCGCATGTTCCACATCGCTTTTCCTCGCATTTTGTTACACAGTGTTCTCTGTCCTCTGAATTGAATTGTGCTTTTGTCAAGTATCGCTTCAAGTTCTTCGGTTGGCGTTTGCTTACAATGAGTTTGGTCTGTCTAATACTCGTTTCATTTTCTCGGAATTGTTTAGAAATTTAAAGTTCTCCCTTATTTTTCCAATTACTTGAGGGTTGTTGGGATTATGAGTTATTACTAAAGGCAAGACATTGTCATCAGTTTTATGTTTTGGTGCCCTCAATTCCTCAATGTTTTTTGATGAAGCCTTCTGTATTCCGTTTTTTATAAGCAATTTCGGATAGTTCTGCTTTTGTAGGAAATATTCTAGTTCATCAAGACGCTTT